ATGATTAACTCAGAGTTATTGTTTCTTATAGTTCTGAAATGTCTGACCAACTATGATTCCAATAACTCAAATCTAACTGGACCCAGACAGATGACTCTTATTTTAGCCAGACATTTTAGCACTAATCTGGATCAGATAAATTGAGTATAGCGAGGATGAGGAAATGAAAAATGATCAAACAGACAAACAAAAAAACTAATGGCTGAACCTTCAGGACTGATGGTGAAACTGTTAGCAATGCCTCATAAAGTACCACAATCCATCCAAAATGAGAGAAATAAATGGATATGATGAAATGTATAGATGACAAATGCAAAAAATCAATAGGAATATTTTATTTACTGAAAAGAATAATTGGGCATGCTTCATGATGGAGATCAGACTAACTCTTAATGATTTTCTTGTTCTGGTTGTCTACCATTATTATGTAGTTTCCTAAATGACCATTACTAAATAATTATGGAGCAAGGTTGACTTAGTTTTTCATATGACTCTTGAATATTCTAGGCATTTTCACATAACCACACCAAGACACACTAGGATCCCAACACAGAAACACATGTGTCGGGGGCAGAAGATTGAGAATGTTTTCCACTTTGGAAATCACAACCATCATGGTTTCTGTCCTCCCTAAGACATCATTATTACTTTCATATGATTTATGGCTGAAAAGTATGAGGGATAGTGCAAAGATCCTCTGCCAAATTCCCATATGGCATATAACATAAGCCAAACTGTGAAAAACTCATAAATGTGGGCAGATCAGTTTCATCAAAGAAAGGATTAAGAGGGTTCCAGAGAGCGAATAGGAAACTAGCCAGAGACTTTATACAGCCATGTAATTCCAAATGAGCAACAATGACTACAGCCCTGCCCTGGATGCAGGCCTTGAGTTAAGTGTGAGGGTACAAAGCAAGAAATCGTGCAGAGACAATGTGAAGCACTATCAATTGGCCATGCTCAGCTTTTGATATATCTGCCACTTCTTATTCTTCTTGGACAGAAACTAAAATCAGTATCATTTTTAATGCTTTCACAAAAGATAGCTGTTTCTTGAAACTCACTGTAAATAATGAAGTCACTTCAATGCCCACTAAATATTATTTAAAAAATTCCCTTTAAAAATATAGTGAAGTGTTTCCCTAAAATCAATAAACAAGCATTTCTGATATCACGTATGTCTTCACATAAATTTCTATGTGACACATTTTCTAAATCTGAACATGAATCATGTACAAAATAAACATATAAAATTAAAGCTAATGTGCTTTAAAAGAAGAACTAACTAAAGGAAAAGTGTGGAAATGTGAACAAAACCCAGAGAAGACCTAAGAGCATATAACCTGAAGATAAAGAAGCTAAAGAGCATGTAGAAGACAAGCAAATATCTAATGTCATGTTGTTGGAATAGAGAAAAGCCCTTGCTGCCTAAGCCTGACAGCCTAAACTGGAACCCAGGAGGCTGCAGTAGAAGGAAATAACCAAGTACCTCTGACCTTTGCACATGCACTATGGTTTACACTCACACATATAGGTATTATGTACACACATACACACAAACCACAAATAAATATCCACCCACACATACACAGAAGTAGTTTCTGAATTTTGTATTATTATTTTATGTAAATGAGTAGCTTGCCTGTGTGTGTATCTATGAGCCATATATGCCTGGTGCCTGAGGACAAGAGTAAAGGGCATCCAATACCCTGAAATTGAAGTTATAAATGGTTGTGTATTGTCATGCAGGTTCTGGGAACTGAAATCAAGACCTCTGAAAAAGCAGGTGGTGCTCTTAACTGCTGAGCCATTGCTCCTGGGCTGATAAAAGCATTTGAACATGAGAAAGCACGTATGAAATTGTTTTAGTTGTGCTTAATGCAAAGCATTGAAGATACGCTTAAGAAGTAGACTGGGCTGATGGTCCAGAGAACTCTGACTGATAGAAGCTATATATGCACTATAATGTGGGTGGCATTTGGAATTCACATCACCGGAGAGTAGAAGAGTGATATAGCAGTTACCTGGTAGGACAGCGTGAGAAGTGCTAAGCATCAAAAACCTGATTAGATGAGTATAAAAGCAGTCAAGAAAAAAGAGAAATATCAGGACACTGCAACCTTCCAAGAAGGCATGTGGGTGAGGGGCATGGAGCTCAGTAGTAGAGCACTTGCCACTCATGGGCAAGGCCCTGAGTTTGATGCTTAGCACTGTACAAAAATCAAAAAGGTACATGGGTGCAAACATAATGAAACAACAGACAGGAAAAACAGTTGTGATATGTTTTCTACATTTATAAAAGACCCAAGACTGAAGGAGTGTTGGATAATTACATTTCTTTTCTTTTTCTTCTTAGTATTTTGTATTGATTTAAAATCCCATTCCTTTTAGTGTTTTTATTAAGCTATAGATTTTTCTTCGCTCTCTTCCCCTTTTTCCCTTTCTCTTTCTACCCCCTCCCAAGAGGAGATCTTGTCTTTTTCTCCTTTCTATGTAGAACCATGTATGTCTCTCTTAGGGTGCTCATTGTTGTCAAGGTTCTCTGGGGTTGTAGTTGTAGGCTGGTTTTTCTTTGCTTTGTCTAAAAACCACTTATGAGTGAGTACACATATTTGTCTTTCTTGGTGTGGGTTACCTCACTCAATATGGTCTTTTCTAGATCCATTCAATTGCCTTCAAATTTCAAGATGTCATTATTTTTTTGTTACCGCGTATAGTACTCCATTGTATAAATGCACCACATTTTCTGTATTCATTTTTTGGTTGAGGGGCATCTAGGTTGTTTCCTGGTTAAGGCCATTACAAACAATGCTGCTATGAACATAGCCTCATTCTGTAGGCTGCAATTTTGTCTTCTTGACGTGTCCTTTGCTTTACAAAAGCTTCTTAGTTTCAGGAGGTCCCATTTATTAATTGTTTCTCTCAGGGTCTGCACTACTGGGGCATATTTAGGAAGTAGTCTCCTGTGCCATTGTGTTTAAGTGTACTTTCCACTTTCTCTTCTATAAGGTTCAGTGTGGTTGGTTTTATGTTGAGGCCTTTGATCCATATGGACTTGAGTTTTGTGCATGGTGATAGATATGGATCTATTTTTAGTCTTCTACATGTTGATATCTAGTTATGCCAGCACCATTTCTTGAGTTTGCTTTCCTTTTTCTATTTTATATGTTTAACTTCTTTGTCAAAAATCAGGTATTCATAGGTATGTGGATTGATATTTGGGTCTTCAATTCATTTCCATTGGTCCTCCTGTCTGTGTGTGTGTGTTTTTTTTTTCTTTGCCATTATCAGACTGTTTTCATTACTGTGGCTCTACTGTAGAGTTTGAAATCAGGAATGGTGATACCTCCAGAAGTTACTTTATTGTACAAGATTGTTTTGGATACCCTAGGTTTTCGTTTTCCCATATGAAGTTGAGTTTGTTCTTTTGAGGTCTCTGAAATTTTTGCTGGGATTTTGATGGGCATTGTGTTGAATTTGTAGAATGCTTTTGGTAGGATTGACATTTTTACTATGCAAATTCTACCTACCCATGAGCATGGGAAATCTTTCCATTTTGGGGGTCTTCTTTAATTTCTTTCTTCAAAAATTTAAAGTTCTTGTCATACAGGTAATTGTTTGATTAGAGTTACTCTGAGATATTTTATATTATTTATGGCTACTGTGAAGGGTAATGTTTCTCTGATTTATCAGCCCATTTATCACCTGTAAAAAGGAGGGTTACTGATTTTTTTGAGTTAATCTTGCATCCTGCTACATCACTGAATGTGTTTATAAGTTGTAACAGTTCCCTGGTAGAACTTTTGAGGTCATTTATGTAAACTATCATATCACCAGCAAATAGTGAGAGTTTGACTTCTTCTTTTCTAATTTGTATCCCCTTGATCTTTATTTGTTGTCTAACGCTCCAGCTAGGACCACAAGTTCATTGCATTTCTATCCTGTACAGAAAGAAGAAAGTACAAAGGGGAAACTACCTGGGTCAAAGAATAAAAAGTCATTCTTGGTTGGGATAAGGGGGACTGATAAATGTACTGCCGAAATGTTTCAAGGAAGTAAATTTCCTGGATTTTGTCAGCTTAGCATTTGCAACACCAAGTCCTGGATGCAGTGGGCATCTGCCAGAGAGAGAGCACAAAGAAGCCATCCAAAGCCAACAATGTCCTCAAGTGGGGGTGGTGACAAATACGGGTGAGAGCTTAGCTGTCTCTCATGTTGAAGGCATGGCACCTCTCTGGTAGTGCTTACTGTAAGGGAGTGGATCCTTTAGGTGGTACAGGTTTGTGGAAGATGTCACATCACTTGGAAGAATGCCCTTTATGGAGGCACTGGAGTTCATCCCTCCGCTTTCACTCATTACCGCTTGGCTTCTTGGCCAAAGTGAGGGAAGCGTCACCTTCATTCTTGTACTGTTCTCACCCCTGCGAGGCTCTGCTTTACCTTGAGTATAAAAGCAACAGATCCAGGAAATCATGGATGCAAGCTATTAAACCAAGCCCAATAAACCACTTTTCTGAATAAGTAAATTGTCTCAGGTACTGATGGCTGTAGGAAGCTAACACAAAATCTAAAACAAATTCAGAGAAATGAACAGACCCAGCAAAGAGCTAAAAAAAAAAAAAAAAAAAAAAAAAAAAAAAAAAAAAAAAAAAAAAAAAAAAAAAAACAGGAAAAGGGGGATATGAAACACAGAAAGAAGAAGGAGCAGAGAAACAGCAACAGCTACAACCTTGGGATCACTGGAGCTGATTAGCAGTTGAGAGTTTTTTAAAGGACTCAGTCACAGAAGGACACTTTTCTGAGAGCAATTTTCAGAGGATGGAGACAAAAAGAAAAGCCAAAGAGGCCAGTGGTCTTGACAAGGCAGAAGCAGGGTCACCTTATTCTCTTCAAGCCACCCTATTCACTTCACGTCGCATGGCCCAGCCAAACTCTGGTTAAGAGACCAACTGAAATCCTACCAGCTAATCAGTAGCTAACAAGTTAATATGCATCTTTACCTTCTTGTGGTTCTTGTAAACATTTCTGTGAGCAAATCCCTTTCCACAAAGCTTGCACTGATAGGGTTTATCTTCACTGTGGATTACTTTGTGGGCGCCCACTTGATCAAGCCTCTTGAATGATTTGTTACAGATCTCACAGTTATAAGGTCGCTTTTCTGTGAAAAATGAGTGGAGACAATCTCACACTGATATGAAAGTCAAGGGCCAAGGGGAAGGAAGCATGCTTTCCTACAACTATTTCTTATGCATAAACAAACTAAGGCCTAGTCAGACATGCCAAAAACAACCAGCCTTTCATGTAGTTCATCTATGTTAGACGTGCAAATTCTATTAGACATGCATATTCACAAATGAAAATGAAAATGCTTGCTCTTCTATAGACATATACTGAAAGTTAAACCTTTGAAATAAAAAAGTTTGAATTCAAAACACAAATTCTATTTGTGCATGAAAAAGATGAAAGTGTGTGTTTCAATCAGGTCTTCGATGCTGAGAGATCTGTCAGTGATAGAAGTAATCACAGAGCACCAGGCAGGCCCTTTGTGGCAGAACTCCCATCTTCAGCAGAAGCCAAGCATTAAGCAGATTAAAACACACACATTCGCAAACTGGGCATTAGTGTTAACAACCAAGCAAACGACCCTGCGCAAATCACACAAAGCTCACCAGAAAGCCAACACTTTCAATCACTGATCTTAACTCACGAACACTTATTCTTCCTCCAAACCATGAGGATGTTCAAAAGATGTATTTCAATATCCTCAAACTATAACCTTCCTAAATTCTTTAAAAGAATGGCTTAAGGCAAAAATTCTTCTCAGTACATTTTAGTGTCTTCATAGGTGAAAAAAGCCAAATATTAAATGGTTTAATGAACATCCATCTTTTGAAATGTTTCTCATAAACCTACATATTTCTCTATTTTATGAGTACCATATCGAGAATTCCAAAGTATCTAGAAACATAATAAAAACAATAATTGTTCAATCTCCACTAAATGCCAGACACAATGCTAGTATATTATGTAAATGACCTTATTTCATCCTCACAGTTCTTTTTTCAGGTGCCAGGGTGCCATTCCACAGATAAAAATAAAGAAACATAAAGAAACCGAAGTCCCAAATTAAACAGTGATTTCTGTAGACCTTGCACATTCTGCAGTCAAACAACCTTTTGCTTTCTAACTAGACAATTAAGAACTTAGAGATACTATGACTAGGCTAGAACTTATAGCCAGGATTCTGATTACTCCTTTTCTGGTTCTTCAACAAGATGAAGTAATTCTTTTGCAATGATTTCAATATTTGTAAGAAGTACATTGCCAGGCAGTGGTGGCACATACCTTTAATACCAGCACTTAGGAGGCAGTCAGCAGATCTCTGAGTTCTGAGTTTGAGGCCACTCTGGTCTACAGAGCAAATTCCATGAGAGCCAGTGCCACACAGAGAAACTTTGTCTTGCAAAAAAAAAAAAAAAATCAAACAACCAAAGACCAAAAATCAACAACAACATATATATGAAAAAAAATTACATAGTTCACCTGAGTGGGTGATCATGTGACGTTTCAGCTGATTAGCAGAAATGAACTTTTTCATACATTCTTGACAATCAAATATCTCATGGATCTGAAAAAGATTAGATCGACAGTTAAACCAAATCTTAATAACTAATGAATCCTACAGAGATGAAGCAAACATGTAAACATGTGAACAGCTGCTAGTACAGCTTAGGCCCACATTGCCCTATGTTGGCTTCATGTACAGTGGAAATGCCATGCCAAACTATGTAGCTGATGCATCACTAAGAGAAAATGGTCCCAGTAAAGCATGCCATATACCTGTCCTATTCATATGTAGTAAACATACCAACTGTAAAAATATGTTCACAACTAACAAATATTAACTTGTGCTATACATAAAATTTAGAGGGGAAGGTATATGTTACCTGCAGATACAATATTCCTCTTTCAGCTGTCGTTAGCAGTTTAAATGTAAGAGTACAAAAGAAACTGTCAATCACAGTGAAAGGTTAGTAGGAAGTTGATCTAAAGTTACTATGTTCACAATGAAGTCCCACATGACCGGAGGACCATAATAAAAATGATGGGCCACATAAAATAGCCCATAAATACGATGATTGAGTCCAAAGACCTTACATTTAACCTAAGCAATATGGCCAATAGTAGAATATTAATAATGGTGTGGTCAGGAATTCTTAGTTAAAGGAATAGATTACAGGAGCTCTGACATGGGGTAGGGGACTGAATAAAAAACGTGAGATGTGAATGTAAAACTGTTTCATTATTCTGACAATTCTACCACATATGTGTATCTCATGACGTGTTATACAGTCTAAATATAGATGAAGAAAATATGTATTCAGAACACAAACTAATACTTGAGCACACAAACTAATGCAAATGTTACAACCAGGTACTATAGTGCTGATATAGTAACTAGAGATGAAGTCTTTCTATCTCAAACCATAAAATATTTGCTATGGAAAACAGAAGCCTACTTTACCATCATGAGGAAGGTGTTCAGCTCTAAGCAGCAGACTGCATGAAGCCTTCCTTGGAAACGCTGGCCACCCACCCAATGATCAAGGGCTTCAAGTTATTGGGCTAGGATTCAAGGCTGATTCTGCCAAAAGTATAATGATTAACCCTAGGCAAACAAATCCTTCCACAGACAGCCAAGACCGTGTCTGTCACTGCAGAATAAGTAGATGTCACCGAGAAAAAGATCAGCATGACTGATATGGCAGTGGAGGATGAGGCTGTCTTGGGATCTAAGTGGCCGTGGCAGGAAGAGTGAAAGGAAAAAGGGCTGGAGGGAGAAGGGTCAGCAGATCCAAGGCCTGGCAGCTGGTCTTATTCTATGCCATGGCAGATCGGAGCTTGAAATCCTCTCCTAACTACTCTACTCTTTAGTGAGACTGAACTCACTGCGAGAACTGGGAAAAGCCAGAGAAGCAGGCAGCCATGACAGACATCGATCCTCTGGGGTTTGACTTCTACACATGTGGAGATTCATCCACATCCATTTCTGAGCAGGGACAGATTGCAGGGTGGAGCCTGTGCAGCATTTGGTAGGAGAACTAGAAACAGAGTGCAACCTGGCACAAAGGAAGGTCAGGCAGCCTCTCCCTATCAAACACCTGTGAGGGCTTAGGCTAAACACGCAAGGTGAACAAATAAGGACAGGATATGTAATGATTAATTAAAGCTTGTAGGTGCAAATTTACATTCTTAAGCACTGCATGGAAAAACACATAAAATATAATTTTATAATGATGGCAAGATAGTTTAAAATGACAAACCTTCTGTGTCATATAGAAGTGAAGACTTCATTTGTATTACTCAAACTGTATTACAATATAAAAGTTTTTTTAAAAAAATCTATAACTAAAATAACCATTATATAAAATACTGCAAAAATTTATTCAATTTTTAACTCTGGTAGTTTTTGGAACATTTTTAATGGTTAAAGTTATGAAATAGATAAATTTCAGCATTTACTACACATAAGAGCTTTTTTGAATTAACTATATTATTTATAGTAGAAAATTAAGTGGATATTTTCAAAACTTCTAACAAATTTAACAAATGACAGACAATACTATTTAATCATACCTAATATTAAGAAAATTTGTTTTGTTAAATTTCCAATTTTCCATGCTGATTTTTAGGATGATAATTTCCTACTTGAATTCCCAAATAAATAACTTGAAGTAAAAGTCATAATGTACTTTATTATAACAAGATAGTATATTGTAATATAAAATACTAGACTATAATTTAATATTGTCATAAAGCACCATCTACTGTTATGGGAAAACACTGCAACTATACTCTATTAGACATTAGAGCTGGCCAACTAAAATGACTGACATTTTTGGACTTACTAAAGTCCCCCTTGTATAGAGAAGGGCTTTGGGGGGCTACTCTACAATAGAGACAGGGAAGTCTATTTGAACTAATGATTTATTAAAATTCTTCAAATGTTCATAACTTAAAGGCACAGCTGTACTTTCTGTACTGTACCAAAAGGTACACCTTTTTCTAACAAGTTATTCTTTTATGGAGTAAGTCTCTATATTATTAACAAATAGAAAACAACGCATTATTCAGAAATGTGCTCCATGACTAAGTTTGCTAAAGCACTCTGTTAAAATATCTTAAACATCATCATCTAAGATGAAATAGACCCAGGAAATAAATCATTCACTTTCAAACAGTGGTGTTTAAAAAAAATATACTCTAACATATTTAATTTTTTTTTTTTTTGCCTCAGACTAAGTCTCTATTCTCCAAGTCCTAAGATAAATAAGAGAGAAAAAGGGACCTACAGGACCTTGAGAGACTCAGTGGGTAAAGCATCCTCTATACAAGCATCAAGTACTAAGTTCAACTTCCAAGAACCCACATAAAACATGTCTGCCACCCCAGGTTTCCTGTGATGACACAAAAGGCAAAGAAAGGAGGCCCCCAGGAGCTTAGGAGCCAGACAATCTGGCATATGCAGCAGAGAAAAAGCCTGTCTCCGACGAGGCAGAGAGTGCAGACCAATGACAGAGACCATCTGCCCTAGTCTCCATATGTTTGCATGGCATGTGCTTGTCTGCACTCAAAAGTATACACACATACACTCGGGGCGGAGCTAGAAGAAAAGTATCTAGACTCGCATTCTGGAAAGTCAGCACACAGACTAAAATCTGAATGCTACTGGATAGAATAGTCTGGCCCCTGCACAAGAACGACACTTAAATTCAAGAGGTATATTACATCTTCAAACAGCCCCATAAAATCACCAGCTGGAATGAACAGAAAATTCAAGTCAATTCAATATCCCTTTTCAGAAATGAGAAATCCAACCTAATGTAACATGTATAATTACTGACAGAAAAAATAAACTTGGTCTTTATTTGTAATCCATTATTTCTCCTGAAGATGATAAAAAAAAAATCCCTCTAAATCCAGGAGTCAACTTCACTCACATCAACATGACAGTAACTATCTCATATGTCATAATGTAAATCCAGGGACATTTTGGGGATTAGTAGTTGAAAATTACTATGTAATAAATCTATATGCAAATACACAAAAGGCATTTTACAAATCACAAGAAAAGTGAAATTTTTATACTTATCAGCAATATCTCCTTTTCTCTGGATATCAAGTTACTGAAAATTTTCCAGGTTCTTAGATATACTAAATATTTTACATGTTAAATCAGGAGATATTGTGGATTCTATTTGTGACATAAATAGCTTATAAATTAATTTTGTACTAAACTAAACTATAATATATATTGATTTTAATAAAAAATATGTTTTAAATCACTGATTCATGTTTCTTGAGAGAACAACAACTGAAAAATCTTGAAGACACAGTGAGTGCTCTGTGGGAATCAGCTAGACATGATTTCTGGCATTGAAGAATCTGTCAGCTAACTCTGAATGACACAGCTATTCTCAGTTCACTCCCCTGCCCACTGTCCCTGGCTCAGTTCTGTCTTAGCATAACATCAACCAAGTGCATATGGCAGCCCACAGGCTCTTACCCACCTTCCTGTGCTCTTGCAGGCTTGACACTGAAGTGCACTTTCTATTGCACACTGAGCATATGAGCTTTCTCTTAGGATCACCTAAGACAGGGACAAAACACCATCACAGGTTAGCTGAGATTGACCCAGTAGCTACAGGACCTCACCATCACAATTTAGAATTCTCTGCTGATATACTCAAGTCTTTCTTTCTAAACTTGGAAGTCCCCAGATCATCAGCTTCTACATATACCAAATAAAGCATTCACTATTCCATCTGTTAAGATAGTCTTTAGAAAACAAAAGTCCACAAAAATCAGAACAAAATAAAAAGAAATCAAATGTGCTTTAAAAAGGAAAAGTGAACGTATTAATTCCAACATTGATTCCATCTCCTTTACTTTTTGTCAAATGGATTCCCTTCACTGCTATCCACAGACTATTCTTTCAGCAATATATTCCTGTAGAATCTGTGCTCATGCCTTACTAAAGAAGTATTAATAGGTCATATAATGCAAAATCAACCACAATAATGTATTATATTGGCAATCAACACTGTTAGAAAATCAAACCATGACTAAATTTTATATTCTTTTACAATGATTAAAAGGGTCATTTCATATTTCAAACTTCACAGTGACTAAAGAAGATAATTTCAAAATGCATTGTCAAAACCGTATTAGTTGCACCATCACAAATATCTTCAAAATGATATTTTACAATTTTAAATGATTGACTTAAAAACTTCCAAAGTAAATATCAAACATACTGCAGTACCCTGTGTCCATCACATCACCTAAACAAAGTGAAAGAAACCATATCCATTTTCACTCCAACCTCAGTGACATGCACGTGAGTCACCGAAACTAAAATCGCTGTGTCATTTGGTTATATTGTATGACTATGTTTATGAAAGAAAAGTAAATGTTTATTAAAAGACAGGTAGGAATTTTCATCCTGCTTTTCAAGATACTAGGATACGCATAGTAACAGCAGGTAACTTTATCTGTTCAAAGAACTCTATACACTACACAGCCAAGGAAATTTGTTTGGAGATTACAACAGAGATTCAAAATACAAACTTTGCCCACAGCAAGATGAACATTTAATGTGGGAGTGTCATATATCAATCTGTTGATTTCATTGGTTAATTAAATAAAGAAATGGCTTGCCCTGATAGGTTAAAACATAGGTGGGAGGAGTAAACAGGAGGAAGAGGAAGTGAGGTAAGACTCCTCAGACAGACCCGACAGCTCTGCTCTCTGGAGCAGGGACACCATGCTCAGCTCCCGATAGCTCTGCTCTCTGAGGCACACGCGATGAAGCTCCGACCCAGGATGGATGTAGGCTAGAATCTTCCCGGTAAGCGCACCTTGGGGTGCTACAAACAATCATTAGAAATGGGCTAGTCCAGGTGCGAGAGTTAGCCGAGAAGAAGCTAGATAGAAATGGGCCAAGCAGTGTTTAAATGAATACAGTTTGTGTGTTGTTATTTCGGGGCATAAGCTAGCAGGCGGCCGGGGTGCTGGGGATGCAGCCCGCCGCTCTTATTTCAACAATCATTAGCCTGCATGTACTTGTTTATCATTCTTTCCCAACTCCCATTGCTTACATGGTCCACCTTCTTGGCATAGCTCATTAAGCCCTAGGACACCTCTTGTTGAGACCAGGCCCTGGTCTTCCCATAAGGCTGGTAAAAGGAGTGGAGAAGAGAGGAGAGGTTGACATCTCAACCACTTCATTTCGCTTTATCCTCCCACTCCTGCCTCTGCTTCAGTACCAGTCTCCCACCCCTACTCTCTCTTCTCTCTCTTTCTCACATCATTTTTATCTTACAACTGGAATATTGGATTCATACAAAGAAATACAGGAACAGTTTGTGAGAATACAGAAAAATGTCATTTCTCATAAATACCTCTTTGTGTTAGCAACCATAAAGTCAATAGACTTTTAGCCTCCTATATTCAGGTATACATGGTTTGTAACTTTCAGAAGGGCTGGAGATATGGTGAAAAAATTCAGTGGTGTTTATGGGGAGGGACGCTCCTAAGTTAAATCATCAGCACCAGAAAAACAAAACAAAACAAGAGCAACAAGTCACAGTGACAATCACAAAAGCAAGTGATGGTCAAAGGAAGCCATATAACCACGCTTACCTCCAAACCTACCCACCATATGCTACTATTTCTACAAAACCAAAGTTTGAACCATGTTTCAATATTCAGTTTCTCTTCCTTTACCTTCTACAGTACATGCACAGAGGTATGCTTCACCACCAGTAATTATAGAAGTAACAAGATTTCCTAGTTCCTCAAGTACCCCTGCTTCTCTGTGTAATCCTCAGCCATACTTGAGTGTTGCTCTCCTTGCTATAATAGGAACTCTCCCATTATCCCTACTTTACAGAAAAGGGGAGAAGCCTAAGAGAGCCTGAGGATGAGAAAATGAAATCATGTGCCCAGCCAAATGAGAGGTGTACATGGAGGCCTCAGCTGAAATACAGCAGCTTTCATATCGTATCATGACCTGCAACATGGCAATAATGACGATGAAACAAAATCTTTGTGCATAAATTGTTTCCTGAAAATCACCACAAATGCCCCAAAGCTGCAATAGTAAGCAACCCAAGGCCAATTACAAGAAGACTCAAAAATTACACTATAAGCACAGCAGGAAGACCATATGCCTAGTTATGACGATGGAAAAGTTTTCAGAGTTGTAGCATCCATCTGGCTTTTTACTTAGTTCAGCAAAGTTGACTTTATACTGACATAAAAGTTTGGTTAAAATACATTGCAGACAAAGATGGAGAAAATTAAGAACAGCATTTTAGCCAAAACAGCATTACGAAAAAAATGAAGGCAAATCTATCAAAAAGTTATGCGTGCTTCTGCCATCATATGAAAAGCACCCGTATATTTAAATTCAATGGGGGAAGTCATTTTCCATATACCAGCCATATGTTCTTCAAAAAGCAAGCCACAAAACAACACTGAGAAGTCTTGATGATTGGCATGCCCTGAAGGTTAGATTACAAAGTTTCACCTTCTGCTACCAGAACACTGTTCATGGCTCACACTACACAGGCCCAGTCAGTGACGACGTGAGGCCATCAGGCACACTCATGCTAACCTTTTGTCACCTTATTATTAAAGTCAGTTATTTTCAGGCAACAGAGGTCCTGATCTCGGGTATCAGTCACTCTTTTCACCTAATTTTAAGGATAAACAAGAAGGGGAAAAGAGTTTCCTCCCGATCCAAAGGTGCAATTCTGCTCACTTCCCAGAAGTGACGGATAAAAGCTAATATGTAAGAAACATACATGCACAGAATGACGTGATGAGGTCCTTGGGTCTCAAACTCCTTTACCAAACAGACAGCAAAGAAGGGAAAAGGCCCCACAGTCAAACAGATATCACAACCCAAATTATATTCACCATGGTTGAGAATATACCAAGGACAAAACCCTAGGTGACAAGCAAATGTTATCTTTGTTTTACTGTTTGGCTAGCAATTACAAGGAGTTAAGCAAGTGTTTGCTGAAAATTCAAGTATTTTCACCTCTGTTCTAAAATATAGCTAGGAATTTTCTCTAGCATAGAAGAAATGCAAGCACTAAACGTATTGAATGTTCCTTTAAAAGTATTAAGGCGGAAGTACATCGCTTCATAGTTTCAAAGTGTAACTACAAATGATCAATTTCACAATGTGGAAAAATGAAATTTAAAGGCTAAACTAATGAAGAGATCAAACAATATACCTGAGTGACAAGAGCAGCTAAGTGGGAGCTTGGTTTACAGTGATGATTAATCAGACAACTTGGAAAACAGTGCTCAGTGTTCAGGGAAACACACAAACAAGTCAGATGCACACAACGGGAAGCCTCCTCACAAAGGAGAATTAAGAAGAGATCCCACAGCCTGGGGAGAGGGAGCCCAGTTAGTACGGACTGTCTGATCCTCCTCACCAGTGTGGACATTTTCCTGGTGCCTTTTCAGGGCCTCCTTGCTTTTCAGCCTCTTCCCACAGCTGTCGGCTTTGCACACAAACCTGGCATCCCCTCGGCAAGCCTTCTGGTGCTGCTCAAAACTATAAGACAAGTAGCAAGGGGAGCAGAAGTGATAACGATATACCTACAGACTTTAAACATCACAGCAGGCTTCTGTAACCCATGCCTCCTAGGACATGCTTCCTGCAGGAGTCTTGGGATCATTTTATGCATTAATTATGTAGGTAAGAAAGAGTACTTAAATTTTTCAGTTTTCTTTGTATAATGCTGACTAACTCCAAGTATGAAATTATGCATTCAAAGATGATCTGCACATTCATAAAAGCCACTTTATAACTGGACATTAACTCCCAGTGATGAACTGAAAGAATTGCAGACGGAACACTGAACACTCTTGAGAACCGTTCAGGCTGTTTCTGACTGTGCAGTGGCAAACACTGAGAAGGGAAGGAAAGGAAGCCAAAGCATTGAGTTATGCTCCCGTCCTCTTCCGCCACCTTTCCCTTAGTCTTCTACATATCTAATGGCACCTTACTTAGCTCTAAGATATAGTTCAAAATATACTGCAATGCCTTAAAATATATATAAAAGTTGAATAGAATACAGGCTAAAGTTAACTTATTAAAAAAGGATAGAACTCTTGCATGGCATTTTTAGAAGAAGTTAATAAAATCTCTAAATGTTTAATCCATCCTAAAGATTTCTTTTTTCTATAGATTTGTTATATATAAATAAAATTATTTTCAAACTTCATGAGCAAAAGTTGATATATATATATAATACATAGAAATGTCACATCTATATATAGATGATAGATAGACAGATAGACAAATAGATGGAAATAAAATGGCATAAGTTGGAATTTAACAAAATGGAAAGTGAACACTAAGTCTGGAAGATGTTTTAGTCATGTAAGGTGACAGTCTGCTAAGTGTAGAAGTTTATAGCCTCTGTACATTCTCTTGGTTTTGATAACTCTGATCTTAAAGTAGAGGCTAATGTTGTAAACATAAGTGACTAAGATAAGGTAAAAGGTAACCTCATGTAATTTACCCAACTGTTACTCTATGCCCTATTCATCTTCAAACTATTCTTCCAAGTGGCTATGAAATAGATGGTGTTTCCCATCCATTCATTGTCCCTACACTGAAGTAGTCATTGCTTAAACATTTTTAAAACAAATAAGAGAGCAAGTAAGTGACATTGGTAAATAACCTCAATTCTCTAGCTAACTTGTGCATATGTAAATTTCAGAATAGTAAACCATTAAGTGTAATATTTAATGGCAAGTATCAATCAGAGAAGAGCTAGCATAAATGATATTTAACCATAAATCTCAGATCAGAGTAATTAAAACAGTAAAACTCAGAAAAGATGAACTCATGCCAAAGTAGGCTGCCCTCCTCTTTCCCAAACACACGAGTACATGCTTACACATATGCATGCTCACAAACACATATGGGTTCGTGCTCACACACATGCATGCTAACAAACATGCATGGGTACCTGCTCACACACTTGACATGCAGAGACACACATATTCAGAGCAGTGTCAAGCAAAGCGAACAGTCTGAGTGGCTGTTCGCAAACTGAAACACCCTGAGCAAACGCACTGTCTCTGCAAGGCCTGTCTCACGGGGAACTTCTTTCCGCAGCTCTGGCATTTGAACTCTTTCTCCCCTGTGGGCTTCTGGTGAAAGGTCTGCCGGTGCTCGGTAAGGATCTCCTCACTGGAGAAGCTCGATTCACACTGTGGACAGGCATATTCCTCTTCACAGTCCAGGTGACCTGTGCAACATCACAACACTGGAGTTCACACGCCAGAAATGAGCTTTGGCTCTCATTTCAACATCAAACTAGTTCTAGCAACTAAAGTCAATTTTTATTTTCTCTAACAAATGTACGTAAGCATTGCCCATGTTGAACAAAAAAAAATGCTATCAGAAAAAAAAACTATTTTAAAAATCATTTTTACTATGTTTTACAGAAGCAAAACAAAATCAAATTCAATCTCCAGTTTCCCTTCCAATGTTAATATTTCAAATCAAAATGATAATAAATGCTGATCGCAATGAAAAACTTTTCCTGGAAAATGCATCCTCTCCAGTTCACTCCGCACTTGACAAGGAGAAGCATCCAACAGACATAAACTATCTTGAATTGCCAATGGGGAATCTCACACATACTGGAAATAAAGCAATTCATGGAAACAGTGTGAACTAGGGTTGGTGCTGTGGGTGAGGCACCCCCACTCCACATGACTGGAAGAGCTCTGCCCAAGGTATTCAGGATGCCATTTATGTTGTATATTTTGAGTGATCTTCCAATAAAATGAAAATTTTAAAGTATTAAATATGAAAACATTAAAATAATCAATAATGCCACCCTGAAGACACAGTTGTGGCATGCCAAAGAGACATGTGTTCAGTCTGTGACCATACCTTATGTGCACTTCCCATGCTGCTCTTTCTCCCACCTCTAATAACAAGTCATTTGCATACTTAAGGTGCCACATACATGCAATCAAGCTCTACAATGGCAAATATGTGGGTGACATCTTTGTCCCTTTTTTCTGGGGTTTTGTTTTTTTTGTTTTGTTTTGTATTTCTGGTTTTTTTTTTTTTTGTATGTTTCACTTTTGCAAACAAGACCTAAATCAGATACCAAATGTTTTGGTATCAAACCTTGAATGTCCCAGACCACAGAACCCTCAACAAGAACTTTTGGACTGTTTAAAAGCATGCACTACAGACCAAATGGACAAAGACACAGAGTGCTTCAACAGCGCTATTGCCATTTCCCTCAAATTTTCTCCAGGGGTAAAGGATTATGCCCAGCAATACCTGATGCTTTCACAGTAGTTGACAACCCACAGGCATCTGTCCCCTAGACTGCGGGTTTCACCTATGGTCACTTGAAATCACTGCTCCCCAATCAAGGAAAAATTAGCAATCCTGTACACTCCTGTGACCAGAATACAAAGAGGTTGCCAGAAGGTCCAGATTCTGAGAGGATCTCACAAGACAGAGCCCAGGGACCATTACTCCAGGATACAGGGGGGCCACCCTGCACATCTGACCTCCTCAGACATGCATGAGATTAAACGCTTAGAGTCTGAGCGACCTCCTTACTGCCCCAGGGTTTTAAACTGATGATTGGCAGGGCCGGTGCAGCCCTTCACTTTGCTACCACAGTGACAAGAACCAGAGTTGCCTCGCCTACCTTGGTCATCCTCTGGGACAATCGTTACTTAACCCCAAACATTGTTTTTCTGCTATTCAGAAAAGAAAAACAGTTTTGACAAAAACTATTTTAATAACACTAATCCAAGCATAATTCAAGTAATTCAAACTATCTTGCTCTTCAATGTTTCTTCATTCAGACCACCAAATGAAGATGCATTTAATACCTTTGCTTCCAGATGCTGACTGTCCCTTGGAGTGGTCAACTTTGCCTTCTTTGGTCAAGGTCAGAATTTGTTGCTCCTCCTCCTCTGCCTCCACATCACTGTCCAGGTAGCCAATCAGAAGCTCAGTATCAGTTTCTATATCATCAACTGCTAAGTAGAAAATATTTTCTCCTTCCTGAAAGACAATTTAAAAATGTTAAGGCACTATTAGCTTCTAATGGCAATCTAGAAGCTGTTTTAAGATGTATTAGCTGTGTATGGGATATGGATGATGCACAGTTATCAGCACCTTGGAACTGGAAACTGGATAATCGGGTTCAAGGTTAAGCTCAGACACAAAGTAAGTTCAAGGTCAGCTTAGGCTCCAAGTGACCTTGTCTCGAAACACAAACAAGCAAACAAATAAATAATATAATGAAATAATTGAGGACCATGGGCCAATGAAAAGTTACTACTACTTCTTTATCTCTAGTTGATCTGGATGTTAAAAAATATTCAAGTCACATGGCAATCAAAATATAAATTACTAAGATGAGTGACTTCATATCAATTGTATTTACAAATACATAAGCACACATTAGTGATTTCATTCTGATTAAGATTATATATAAAATCAGAAGAGAAAAATTAAATTCTGACACAAAATAGAGGGGATATAAAATTTATTTCAGAAAGAAATTCTAAAGAGCAGAAAGGAAATTCCAAAGACACTAGACATTTATGGTACCAACTGAGTGATCCTGTCTACCTCACTTCTTTGGTCTCGCTAATCCTATGGAAATGAATGAAAGCAGAGGAGAAGAACAGAGGACACCAGCAGCATACCTTTTATTTTTTTTTTAAAGGAAATTCTAGCAGGCAGAAATCAGTAACAGCTGAAATGATAACTCCTCTAGAGGACCTCCCAGCCAGTAGCAGACACACAGAGAGGAACACAACAGAACCTAAGAAATTCCCAGACAATTTTTTCCTTGGAATGAAATTGGTATAGCATGCCTCCCTTGGCCTTAGGCTAATCTCCCTAGAAGCCAGTCCTGGGGCTTCAAGGCCTGCTCTCCCAGGAACAAGCACCCAGAGTAGATTTTCTCACATAGCTGAGAAACCTCCCCCAGACAGTTTCTAATTTGTCTGGTGAAGATAAACAGAAGAAACACAAAATGAATTTATTGAGAAACCTCCCCCAAACAGTTCCTACTTTGTCTGGTGAAGATAAACAGAAGAAACACAAAATTAATTTATTGAAACCTCCTCAATTGCAAAATGAGGAAAGAGCAAGGAAAATAAGTTTGACTGAGGAATAAAATTCAATAGAGTACAAAGTATAGAATGAAGCCTTCATTAGTTTGACAACATGCTATGTTCTTAAGTTAAAGTGCCCAGAGAGAAAGAAGTATGTGTGGGTATATGTCTATGTTGGGGGGGGGGGGTGCAATGGCTGTTTAGACTAATACTTCTCAGCCTTCCTAATGCTGTGACCCTTTAATTCAGCTCCTCATGTTGTGGTGCCCCCAACCATAAAATTATTTTTGTTGCTATTTTATAACTATAATTTTGTTACAGTTATAAGTTGTAATATAAATAAATATATGTGTTTTCCAATGACTATAAGGGACCCCTGTAAAAGGCTTGTTAGACCCCCCACACAGAAAGAGGTCGCAACCCACAGTTTGAGAACTGCTGGTTTAGATGCAAAGTTACAGCATACACAAGCAGAAAACTCAGAAACTATTTTTTAAAAAAAACCTACATGTATTTTTAGGACTGGGAAGGAGCTACTTTATATGGAATTGTTGAGCTCCCAACTACCTCCCCCATTCCCCTGCCCCGCTGTAACTAAAGCAACTTAAGGATAGAAGGGTTTTTTTTCTGACAGTTTGAGAGTTTGATCCATCATAGTCAGGGAAGTCATTGCTCTGGTCACATTGCAGCTGCAGCCAGGGAGCAGAGATAGAATACTGTGCTCAGCTCCGTGTCCTGTTTCTATTAAGTCTGGCGACCCAGACTATTAGTTAGGTGCCTTCCCACGTTCAAGGTGTATCCTCCCAGGGGACTCAGGTAAATCTTTCTCATGGTATCATCACAGACATGTACAAAGGGGGTGTTTCCCAAGTGCTAAGATTTTAAGAGTACACCACCGAGTCCCAGTTTTTGTTTTTAAGTACATTTGTAATTTAAAAATCTAGATATATATTTAAAGAGTTTCCTGGAGAAAAGCAGAAATGATTATCATATTCACCAAAATAAGAGAGAGAAAACCCAAAGATTCAATTTGTGTTAGTCACATTTGATAAGACCATATTTCAGATACTCTATATCTCCAGATCATAGGTATTTCTAATTAGGAAAACTGAAGCAATCTTTATAAACTACTCTTCTTGATGTGATATGAATAAAGAAACAAAAAGACACAGTCACAATTGATAGAAGAGACTAAATCAGAACCAGATCTTCCCAGTCTCACTTTCTCCAAGCACATGAAGACTTGTATTATGAAGACTCAGACAGGACCATAAATCTTTGTGCTTATCTGATCTATATGCATGGAAACTAATTGAAACTGCTTTCTGGTACATCAGTCATTTTGTGATAGGTGGTACAACAATAAATAATCTTTAATTTTAAAACATGATAACATTATATTAAGCTATAACTTTAAGGGATGCATGTTTATTGGGAGGCTCTGTAATGAAATCGAGGTTTAATATTCACTAGATTTTTAATAAAAAGAAGTGGCAGCCTTTCACAACCTGATGTGCTCTGCTACATTATAATATAAAAAAATGCAGTTAAAGGCATAACACACACCAGCTTAAGGAATGGGAAATCTTACTCCATATAATTCGCACCATTACCAAGGCCTCGAGTCTCCTCCTATGTGTTTATTACCATGTTGTTAAGACCACACTCCTAATTTCCTTGGGATCTTGAATGTCCACCACATAAAGGGTTGGTCTCTACATGTGATGCTATCAGGAGGGTGGAGCCTTTACAAGGCACAGTCCAGTCACAGGAAGTTGATTGGGGTATTGCCCTCAAAAGGACCGCCTGGACTCTGGACCCTCCCAGCCCCTTTTTCTGCGTCCACCACATGTTCCTCACTACATAGTGCCTGACCACAGGTCACAAATGCCAACCAGAATATTAACTTCTGGAGCAAAACGAACCTAATAGCTACACTGTACTAATTTTTTAATGTCATCCCAATTCCTGAAATTTTTATCATGTATTATTCCCTTTCTGAGCTCTGTCAGAACCTGCCATATCACTATTTCTGGAGCCTTGTAGAGCTGTCTTCCTAACCTGGAGGCTCACTCCGTGCCTTATCATCTCTTGCACTGCAGTGGAAAGGATAGGAGGGGCACAGATCTAGGGGATAGAGAGACTACTCGGCAGCTAACAACCGGCTGGAACATCAAATCCAGAGGACCCAATAGCTTTGCCCCCACAGGCACTTGCACCCACATAAGCACATGCTCATACTCAGCCAGACATACTCACGTGAAAAATAAAAATCTATTTTAGAAAATGAGTATGGCTGTAATGCCCTGAGACTCAACACCAACTTCCTATTATTAGTAGGCCTGTCCTGACATTCTGACCCTCACACCTATGATTTCTGCTCAGGGCTTAGTCTCATCTACATAGTCCCTCCATGCAGGAATCTTGCCTGCTATTTATGTTTTGGGAGTTCACTTTCCTGGAACTCTAGCTGAGTGCTAAAACACTTTATGGCTTACCTAAAGTTTCAGGTGACAGGGCCAGAAATTTATAAATTTGTTCAAGACCATACTCTGCTCAAAAATATTCTCAAACTATTAGCTTTTGAAATATAGTAAGGAATTTTAATTGTTATCTCTTCCATTATTGTTCATAGCTTTGAGTTTTTTTGCGTTAGTGTCTCTTCTCATTTTGCTTGATTTTACTTGCACTTGACGTTTGGCAAATTGCTTCTCCTATAAGCTAACTATAGTATCAAAATGTTGCAACATCCTAAATGCCCAACCAGTTAAAAAAAAAGTTAAATTTCTAACAACTGGTTTATAAGATTTATCAACCTTTATTGGTATGGAAAGACGGAAATGAAGATAGATATTATATAACTATAGATATCTAAACCAGCATGTCTGCGCTGGCTAATTTTATCTGAGAGGAGAGAATCTTAATTGAGAAATGCCTCCATAAGATCAGACTGCAGACAAACTATAGAATATTTTCTTAACTAGCAGTTAATATGGGAAGGCTAAGATCATGGTGGGTGGGGCCACTCTAGAGCAGATGGTCTTGGGTTCTATAAGAGAACAGGCTGAGAAAGCCACAAGGAGCAAGTCAGTAAGCACCAATCCTCCATGGCTACTGCATCAGCTCATGTGTCCAGATTTGTGCCCATCTGAGTTCCTCTCCTGATTCCTTCAGTGATGAACAGTGATATGGAAACATACAGCAAATAAATCCTTTCTTCCTCAAGTTGTTTTTGGTCATGGTTTTATGACAGCAATATTTGACCCTAGCTAAGGTAATATCTTATATAGTAAGATACTTATATATAAATGAGGGCTTGTTTCTAACGGCAGACAATCCAAGGGTTTTGTAATTTTCTTCTGTTACTTTCATAGTATAACAGAAGAAAATAGGACTTTATTTTGTTCTACTATAAAAGCATTTTTGGCTGAAGATAAACTGTTTCTCAAAAGATGTGGAGAGTTGAGAAGCTTCTTCATAATAACTCTAAGGCAGGGTTTTCTTCATTGTTTTTCAGAAGTATGCTGGGGGACTGCATAAAAGAGGAGCCCTTCATTTGTATGGGCTGCTGGGGACCAGAAAAAGAAGTAGGTTCAGACTATGAGAGTTTATCGGAATACTTGGGAACATAACTGGTTCTGAATGTTAAGAGTTCCTGTGCTTCTAGTCTTTGTCAACATGACACAAACCAGAACCATCTGGAAAGGGAACTTCTATTGAGAAAGTGCTCCCATCAGATTGGCCTGCAGGCAAGACTGTGGGGTATGTTTCTTGATTAATGATTGATGTGGGAGGGCCCCGCCCACACTGAGCAGTCCCACACCTTTGACAGGTTGTGCTGATTGTAAAAGAAAGAAGGCTGAACAAGCTATCAGCAGTAAGCCAATATGCAGCATCTCCATGACCTCTGCCTCAGTTTCTCCCTTCAGGTTTTGC